AACATGAAATATGCACCAATAGTCCAATACCTACACTAGTTTCTTTATCTCCTACCTTTCATATGTAGCACTTAGGGCTTGATTGGTTCTCCAGCTAGCACCCTCCTAGCTGTTGCTAGCGGTCGGTTGCGGTTCTTAGCGGTTGGTACCAATCATAGAAACCGCTCTGTTTCCGCTCGAAATCGTTGAATTTCAAAAGTTCCTTCCCGCGAGCGTTTGCGATTGCGGACGGTAGCGGTTGGATTTTTTATTTTTTTTTTAAAAAAAAAATCGAACGTTTACTTATAATTATTATAATATATATTAATCCTATATATATCTTTCATCTTTGTTACACGTTCTCATCAGAAACCCTAATAATATTCTGAAACCTTATTCTCTCAATGTCTTACACCCAAACTGATGAAAATCAATAACCAAACGTAAGTATCATATATCCTTTTATTCATTCATCACCTCATGTGTAACTTTTTGAATATCTTTCATGGCATCGTTTTTTTTTTCTTTTCATTACAATTGCTTTGCTTTTTGATTGAATATATATTTCGATTTGTTTTCTCGAATAGAAACTCGCTTGCTTTTTGATTGAATTCAACGTTATTTACAGTTTGTCCCATTACATGATGCAATTTTTGATGTTAAACTCGACGCATAAACTACTATCTTGTTACAAAATTTCTTTATTTTTGAATAATTATTTAGTACTTTATTTATGGTTTTAATTATTAAGCATGTTCAATTTTTCTAATATTATCATAATAATATATTGGTGTTTTTATTTCTTTTTTGTAATATTTTTTTATTTATTTTGGTCATTTTTTTATTTAACTGCTACCGCACCCGCTGGTTTACCAGTCATAAAACTTCCGCAAACGCACCCATTTTCAAACGCTAAACCAGTCGTTTAAAACGCTTGATAACGCTTGAAGCCGCAACCGCTCGCTTCCGCAAAATCCTGCAACCGCAACCGCAACTGCTGCGTTTAAACCAGTCAGACCCATATTATAATGTTCCAATCGGGCGTTTATTTGGTAATTGGTATATCAATGAACCATTCTTTTATCGATATTCGTATTTTCAGATGAATAGACCTTAAACACCCGATTTTTAGAACTTTGATCTTAATTAATTATTTGCAAACAACTGTATCGATATTTAAATTAAATTTTTAGTTTTAATATTTCAAATTTTTTTTCCATTAATAGTCAACAAGAAAATACTGTTTGGTGAAAGTGTTGGTCCTTGGAAAGGAAAGATGTACAAGATACGAAAATACCTTTGCTTCGCTTTGCTTCCAATACAATGCCATTTGTCAACAACATATGTTCATTCGAAATTTCGAATATGTGTATGTGCGTAAAGATTAATACTATCCCAACACAAATGAATAAACTTATGTTTTAATATTGCGAGTCTTTATTTTTAGATTTATACAAGATATTTCGAATAAAAATTGTGTCATTATATGATATATCTTGAATCATACGTAGCGATGGGTGCAAGGCTCTTATCAAAAGCAAATCTGGTCTTTAGAGTCCCCACCTTCTCCTATGTGCAGTTTAGCTACTCTTTCAGTCCTCTGATTGACATATGTTCCCACACCTGTTTTGTTTTTCCAAGTCTTAATGAAGCTTAGAAGTTAATTAATTAAATCATTTTAATCTCGTAACATTTCTCGGATCTTATCAATTATGCTATATTATTATTCCTTCATCTAAACCATATAATATTTCCTCACATATACGATTTTCTTTTACTTTATTTGATTCTGAATTACAAATACGTACATTGTCAAAATTAAGAAAATTAAGTAAAACACAAAATGTGAACATCTAAGATTTTGTAGAATTTGGTTCTGTGATTTAATCTCTCTGGAGTCTGGATCATATGCTCAAATGTATATAACCCATTTTCTTTATAAGAAAAAAATTATATCCATAGGTGAAAAAATCGTATCAACCGACCGACAAAGAAATACTAAATTACCATATACTCTATTCTTCCGAACAAGCTCCTCTTCCTCTTGTATTATTATTTTCTTTTGCCAACGACCAAGTTCCTTACAAACATTATATTATATTCACAAGCAAATATATATATATATACAAATATTCAGTTGTCATCAGAATACAATACAGTATGAGCTTACACTGCTTAAGTGGTGGTTATCTCTATAGTAATCTGAGTTAGTTAAACCACAAAATCAAGATTAGTTTTTAGAATAATCAATAAATAAATACAATTTCAATACACTAAAAAGTTTGGTGGAAGCAGTTCTTGAAAAGACCTCCGAACCTTGCAAATTGCAAGCGAAGTTTGAATCAATGTATTGAGCTTACCTGTCTTGTTATGTTACCTTATCTTCACCTTACTTTGCCACCAAGGTTTTAAACGTTATACATTAGTATTGTCAATTGTTAATATATAGTAACGGTTGCTTTGTTATTACAATACGTCATCTTTGGTTATGTTCCAAAAAACCCAAAACCAGAAAACATTTCAATATATTAATTGTTAACTAATTCATGGATGCATGCGTACATCATTATCTTTCTCCAGCTGTATATTGTACATGCAAAAAAAAGATAGATCATATATTTCTTTCCACCATATACATATTTGAATCCAATGGCTTAACCTTTCAAAAAAAATATTTTGAAAATAAATTATGGTTGTCTTTACAAAGAAATGATCAAAAATTTGGTGGACATATGTCCATCATAAGAAAGTCATAAACTGAGAATATGGAGTTTAAACTAAAGAGCTACAATATTATCCACAATTCAAAACATTTTCTTAAAATCACAAAACTTTTTTATCAAAAAAAAAAAAATCACATAACTTAAAAAGGAGAAAATCAAAAATAACTTTATTAAAAAAGGTGGGTGTGCAAAATACATTTTTCTTATTTCCTAGCAAAAACAAAAATAGAAACAAAGCAAATGTGATATAAGAAGATTAAAAGAGACGTTATGTCTCACCTATATTTGCTCTCTCCTCTTCCTTGTCCAATTCTACTGTCTCAATCCATCAGTTTTATATGGCAAACTCTCCCGCTGCTCCTGCAGCCACCGCTACTACCGGAGGTGACTCCCGGCGACGCCTCTCCGCGTCCATGTAATTAGTGTACATATTACTCTCTAATTCATAAATGATTAAAAAAATCTGAAATCCTAGTCTAACTATGTTTTTGTATGTTTTAAGCAGAGAAGCAATATGCAAGAGGAGATTCCGAAGAAATAGCAAAGGCAGTGGTAGATCGGATATGCTGAAACCGTTTAGTATCATAAATTTTCCAACACAAGACAAAAACACTAGTTGTTGTTGTTGCAGCAAGTTTCAGATCGTGAAGCTTCTCTTGTTTATCCTTCTTTCTGCTACTCTATTCACCATTATTTATTCTCCTGAAGCTTATCATCATTCTCTTTCACACTCTTCTTCTCGGTAAATCTTTTTCATTTTCCATCGCCAACATTATAACATTCTTGACCTTAAATTGTCAAAATGCAAAAATTTACTTTTGCGTCTATCTCTTACATATTATCTTAATATTGTGAAATTTAGATGGATATGGAGAAGACAAGATCCTCGTTACGTCTCGGATCTGGACATAAACTGGGACGATGTGACCAAAACCCTTGAGAGCATCGAAGAAGGCCGTACGATCGGTGTCTTGAATTTCGATTCGAACGAGATTCAGCGATGGAGAGAAGTTTCCAAGAGCAACGACAATAAGGATGAAGAAAACGTTGTCGTATTGAATCTAGACTACGCGGACAAGAACGTGACTTGGGACGCACTCTATCCAGAGTGGATCGATGAGGAGCAAGAAACAGAGGTCCCTGTTTGTCCTAATCTCCCGAAGATTAAGGTACCTACAAGAAGACTTGATCTTATCGTCGTGAAGCTTCCTTGTCGGAAAGAAGGAAATTGGTCGAGAGACGTCGGGAGATTGCATCTACAGCTGGCGGCTGCAACGGTGGCGGCTTCGGCCAAAGGGCTTTTCAGGGGACATGTGTTGTTTGTCTCTAGATGCTTTCCGATTCCGAATCTTTTCCGGTGTACAGATCTAGTGTCTCGGAGAGGCGATGTTTGGTTGTATAAACCTAATCTTGATACCTTGAGAGATAAGCTTCAGCTTCCTGTAGGTTCTTGTGAGCTCTCTCTTCCCCTCGGCATCAAAGGTACAAGAAATGAATGAATACCGACATTACTTTCTTTTTGGATTTGAAGATCGTCGCTAAATTGATAAGTTTCTGTCTTAATCTATGGATTTTTACAGAGAGACCAAGCTTAGGAAACCCTAAACGAGAAGCTTACGCAACGATTCTTCACTCCGCTCACGTTTACGTCTGTGGTGCAATCGCGGCGGCTCAGAGCATAAGACAGTCCGGGTCAACGAGAGACCTCGTGATCCTTGTCGATGATAACATAAGCGGTTACCACCGGAGTGGACTAGAAGCCGCAGGTTGGCAAATCCGGACGATACAGAGGATTCGAAACCCTAAAGCAGAGAAAGATGCTTACAACGAGTGGAACTACAGCAAGTTCAGGTTATGGCAGCTGACTGATTACGACAAAATCATCTTCATCGACGCGGATCTCTTAATCTTGAGAAACATCGATTTCCTGTTCTCGATGCCTGAAATCTCAGCTACAGGAAACAACGGAACTCTCTTTAATTCAGGAGTTATGGTGATCGAGCCTTGCAACTGTACGTTTCAGCTTTTGATGGAACATATAAACGAGATTGAGTCTTACAACGGAGGAGATCAAGGTTACTTAAACGAGGTATTCACATGGTGGCACCGGATTCCGAAACATATGAATTTCTTAAAGCATTTTTGGGTTGGCGATGAAGATGACGTAAGACGCAAGAAAACAGAGCTTTTTGGAGCAGAGCCTCCTGTTCTTTATGTTCTTCATTACCTGGGAATGAAGCCGTGGTTATGCTACCGTGACTACGACTGTAACTTCAACTCCGACATATTTGTTGAGTTTGCTACCGATATCGCTCACCGAAAATGGTGGATGGTCCACGACGCCATGCCAGAGGTGATTCACTCTCCCCTCAAAACCCTAATTGAACTCAAAATCACATAACATTCTCATGTTATGATCAATGTTCAAAATATTATAAGGCGTTAGTCATGCGTTGAGACACTGCTTAGCATTTTTTTTTTCCCTCTCAAAAATCTCCATAGCTTTGCATAAATATATAAATTAAAAACTACTTCCTACCCAAGTATAGAACAACCATATTTTATCTCTAAATATACGAAAATCTTGGTGGGTTAATAAACTTGGAAGTTAGGTCGTAAGCACCAAGTTATGGTTTGCACTTTGCACACATTGCTTGTCATTTAGATAAATTTTTAATGTCTTTTATTTTATTTTATAAATTTTTATTAAATCCTTAAAAAAATCATTTCATGTTTTCTGAAATTTTTAGAATATAAGACCATCTCCAATGTATTTATCTATTTTTAGCTCTATCTCTATAATATAGGTGAGTTTTCTCTATTTTTACTCCAATGTGTTCTTCTATTTTTTCCTCTATAAAATTTAACTCTATTTATAGGGGAAAAAATAGAGATTCTCTATATCATCCTCTATATATAGAGCAAAAAATAGAGATCTCTATTTTAGAGGTGAGAATAGAGGTGGGTTGGAGCAAATTTGCCTCTAAAATAGAGTTTATAAGCAAATATAGAGGTGGGTTGGAGATGCTCTTAGAGTATAGACGTTTCCCAATTATACGAAAATTGTGACGGTTAGTACGTAATTTTGGACTATAAACGCTTAAACATAAATGATATATTTTGCAGGAACTTCACCAGTTTTGTTACTTGCGATCCAAGCAAAAGGCACAGCTGGAATATGATCGTCGGCAAGCAGAGGCCGCGAATTATGCCGACGGTCACTGGAAAATAAGAATAAAGGACCCGAGATTCAAGATTTGCATCGATAAATTGTGTAATTGGAAAAGTATGTTGCGGCATTGGGGAGAATCAAATTGGACCGACTACGAGTCTTTTGTTCCCACCCCACCGGCCATTACCGCCGCCCGGAGATCGTCACTTCCCGGCCATAACTTGTGACGCAATATTTATACATACTTTATATCAATGGATTTCATGAGATTTTTTTTATTTGAATTGTTTCTGCGAGATTAGGTAAATATATCAGCTGTGTTACTACATTTTTTCCTATACAATAGTTTGTTCAATTTGAATAAAACAATTTTTTTTTGCAGTTTAACAACAAAACTAGGATTTAACCCGTGGTACACCACGGAGCAAATGTTTTATTCATATATATAATAAATATTAAATTTTATGGTTTTTAATTTAGTATTAAAGTTATATAATTTTATATTAATGTTGTAACTAAAAAAAATTAGTGATGATAAAATAATAAAGTATAGATATAACCCATGTTATATTAATCGAAACCCGTCCCGCTATATAACTCGTATCATGATATTTTAATTAATAATGTTTTATAAATTTAAAATATATCAATAATAATATTTCAAAAATAATAATTGTTTTTTGACTTTAATGTGATGACATTCTTTGTAAATTCTTACTTTACTAACACAAAAGTACTTTAAAAAAGGTACTTCAAATTTTTTAGTATATATAAATTTATTGTTTTGGGTAAAAAATATTATAAATAAATATTTAGTTTAATCATAACTTGGGATTGATATACTTGTGTTTTTGACTAACTGTTTTTTCTTTTAATATAGCCTATATTTGGGCATTTTTGTTAACATTATTTGAATTAGCAATATCAACCTAATACATGTACAATTTATTCTTACCAGAAAAAGAACAAAATTTAATAAAAATCAGAAAAGAAAGTTTTAGGGAGTGATAATTATTTTGTACAATTGCAAATTGGAAAAAAGTATATAGAAAAACAAAATTAGAACGCCGGAATAAAAAAATCAGAAAAAAAAGTTTTAGGGAGTGATAATTATTTTGTACAATTGCAAATTAGAAAAAAGTATATAGAAAAACAAAATTAGAACGCCGGAATTAAAAAATCAGAAAAGAAAGTTTTAGGGAGTGTTTTTTTTTTTTAAATTGTGATGGATGGCTTCTACATATGAACTACTATAAGAGGAAGATCATACTCTCCAAAAAAGTGATTCAAAATAAAATAAAATCAATTTCGATCTTCTCAAGAAGAGTGATATTGTATTAAACAAACATGATTGGCAAGAAACATAATCAAACATATGAAAAAATAAAAAAAAAAACATAAAACTAAAACAAATTTTTTTTTTTAATGAAGAATTAGGAAAAATTTAAATGATTTTTGTAATTTTTTTCTTTTAGTTTCCTAAATTTTAGTAACAAAATCGATTAATATTTAGATTTGGGAAAATTTTTGTTAAAACATTAAATGCCAATGGCATTGTATTGTAAATAAGTTCCAAGTCCAGGATTTATTTGTTAAAAGTGATTCAAAAATGTATATATAGATAGATGGAACACATGTAGTATTTATGTGCCATTTTTGAATATACACATAAAAAAGTCAACAATGTTAGTAAAATTCAAATACCTTATACAAAACTACAGATTATAGACTTATAGCCAAACAATACAAATTAATCGATGTAATTAAGTACAACATCTATTAACTTTCTAGAATTCCAAAGTTAGTCCTTGTCGGATCGTTGGGTAGCATGTATCTACATATACATTTTTACAGTACTTTTTTGCTTTAATTCTTTTGGATCCGGGTTTGACCCGGTTTTAGTCTATTCGGATCTTGGATAAGCAATTTTAGGGATGTTGT